TCTCTTCGCACGAGCAAGTGAAGCATCGTCGGATTCCATAACCCTTTAGAAGGGTTTGTGCGGTTCGGAAAATGACCCTTTTGAGCAAACCTATACCCAAACAGCGCATGTTTCTTGGTTTCACAAGCTCATGCACGTCCTTGGTGGGTTCCTCCCAAGTGTCCAATACTTCTTGTGTCTCCATATCTGGGCTGAACTGCAAAACTCCAATGGCAGGGGCCTTAATGATTAGAATATAGCTTTGGTGGTACAGTAAAGTTTACATAGGAGAGGGACTATAAGGGAACACTAATACTACATACAAACTATGCAGGCGTCTACATTAGACCGACTTGGACCTTGGACCTCTGGGAGCTAGCGTGTCCTGGACAGGCCAGCTTGGGATCTTTTTCGGCATGCCGCAGAGTTGTAGCTTCCAACCCTGCACCCTAAGTCCCATAACAAGCGCTACAACTGACATGCCAACTCAGGCGACAGGCCAATTTCACTTGTTTCAACATGCTGGCGTCCGTCTTAGTGGCTCACAAGCCTACACAAACGAACCTGCTGATCATGCACCCAAACAAGACATTTCAATGTGGCACATTCGAACCCTTGCACTTTGTGCTGCTTGCTTCGATATCAACGCGTTGCAGTACGTTGTGACGTTATACATTGCTGGAGGGTTTGTGGCTAAGCTTATAGGCCTCTGAAGCAGCTTGCAGTCTCTAGGACGGACGTGTCAGTCTCTCAGAAACCGAGATCTTTGAGGAGCATGGCCAACTCCATCTGGTAGCTCTCGGCTTCAGCAGCAGCCATCTCGGCTTCCTCCATCGCAAGCTTCGCCTTGCGCTCTGCTTCCTCGGGCGACCATGTTGGGTCGCTCACGCTCACGGGCATCATCGCCTCGGCCAAATCGGTAAAATTCTCTTGGGAATCCATCACAACCACCTCCTCCAAGGCATCGGGAGGAGCAAATCAAGAGACAAAGCATACCCCGCAAGGCTCTTTCCCTCCACCCCTCGTCCCCCGAAACCCCTACCCCCCACCCCTGCCACAGCTTGAACGGTGTCTCCTCCCCGTACACCTCGTCGGCCAGCGCGTGCGGAGCGTCCTTCTCCTCCGTCCTTGGGTTGCGACGGCCCTTCCGCTCCAGGCCAGCCTTCTCACGGGCGGCCTTTCCAAGGCGGCCCGGCTTCACCTTGGTCGTAGTTCGTAGTTTTGGAGGCTTTCAAGAACAGGTACCTCTATAGGCACCATAAGGGAAATTTATTAAAAAAAAAAACTTCCGAAAGCACCTAGTCTCCATGTGTCGCAAGATGCGGATGGACCAGGCGCGCGCCTGGGCTGCTCCTCGGCGTCCACACGAAGAGCACTTGCACGAAGCACCGTGCGCCATGCGGGCGGGATTCTGCACGGAGCGTTCCGAAGACTTCCGATGACGCGATCTCACGAGCTCGAGCCACTATGGCACATGTCCAGGGACACGGGTGTGAGGATCAACGAATGTTTGAAGTTCCACGGTCTTCCATCGCTTTCACCTTGGGGGATCCTGAGTTGAGGCCGGCTCAGATGCCGGAGACTTGCCTCAACAACGCGGAAGGTCACAAGACGTTGCAATGAACACACAGATGCCGCCGGCCACCACAGCTATGTGCAAGCAGTCTTGGTTTGCGGAGTCTGCAGGGCTGCCTTCCGCCACTGCTTGCTGCCGCAGGCATTGATGAGGCTGTTGTAAGTGATGACCTGATGGCAAGATTGCTCTTTCTGACTCTCGTTCGCTTGCCTCCTAAGAGTCCTAACAGCAAGGAGGACTCGAAGATTGCCCTGGTCACATCGAAGCTTAGAGGAGCTTTCGCAGCCGCCAACAACAGGTATGGACAGTCGTCTCGGCTTCATCAACATGCTTAAACCCAAGTAAAGACCGATGGTCTGATTCGCGCTGGCATCGGACATGTTGCAACATTCGCATTGCAAGGAGTATGAGAAGAAGAAGAGTCATGTAAGTAGACGTAGTTCTGGTAATCTCTACCAGAACAAGCTGCTCAACATCTGAACTCCAGCAGGGGCAACATATCCATAGTAGACACGACTGTGTAGCTGGTGCATAGGAAATAATGCCCTGAACCGCCGATCCTCCAACCCTGAACTAGGCCCTGAACCCTAAAACTGTCTACCCATAGGCCCTAAAGTAGATCCTTTTTTGGGTTCAGAATTTCAATCCTATAAGGTAATCCCAAAAAGGAACTACTATGGGGTTACCTTATAGGATTGAAATATGAACCCAAAAAAGGAACTACTTTGGGGCCTATGGGTACCCTCACCCTTCAACTGTCAGCACCGGGTCGCCGAAGGCTGAAGCTGCGCCCGCTGTAGACTGTGGAGCCAGGCGACTGCCTTTAAGGGTTTAGGGTTCAGGGTTTAGGGTGTAGGGTTTAGGGTTTAGGGTTTAGGGTTTAGGGTTTAGCGTAGTAACTTTGTAGACCACTAAGACAAAAGTACTCATCACAATAACAATGAGAAGAATAACAGCAATCAACAACAATAACAACAACAATAATCACAAGAGCAACTAATAGCAATAGCAATAACAATATCCTCTGTGTAGTCTCCTAAATACCTCGTTCCCACCAGTATGTGGGCTGTAGTTTCTGGCCTCAAAAAGGGAGAGGTCCCCAGAGCCTTAGGGCCTTAGCAGCCCCACCTTAACTATAGGAAAAGAGCATTTGCAGATAGATGAAACGAAGATTACAACAGGGAACCCAGCTGAGGGATCATGCCGTCCAATATTCAGGTGCTTAACCATGTGGCATCATAGAGATTTTGGTTACAGTAACTGGCTTACGATTACACTCATTGTTACGGACTCGTCGTCAGTCGTCTCGTTACGATTGTTACCGAAGCTCTGAGAGATATCTCAATCTCAGCTATGGTGTGGCAAACTCCTGCAACGGGTACTTTTCGGACAGTGCCCCTTTTGGGATCTTTGCATCTCCCTCTCGACCTGATCTTGACCGGAACCGCCGAACCGCACCACACAACAATCAGCATTAGGCGTCTTTCTGGACCCGGAACTCTTTGCCTCCAACCCATGAGGGACACTAACAATCCTTCATGTGGGTAGTTGTCAAAATTATGGTCCCTTTTGGGGTACCCTAAATAATAGGTGCCGTATTATAGTAAGGACCCAAAAAGGGACCCTAATTTTGACAACCGAACAGGTACCTTATTTGGGGTCCTTATAATAAGAGTCCTACAATTTAGGGTACTATATATATTAGGGTCCCCTATTTTCGAAAACTCCTATGTGCCTTGGTAGACCTTGCTGAGTCGACGCACAGGGCCTGCTCCCACCGACCACTGCAGGCGCAGGCATCAATCATTGCATTGTAGGTCGCCACCTGAATTATATAAGGGTTTCAAAGAAGGGATCTAATCATAAGGGTTCTAGAGGGGTATCTCTAAGGGATCGATCTTTTGAGGGGTTTGTTCCGGTTTGGGGTTTTGATTTAAGGGCCGAGGGGGCTTCAGCTTTACGCTCAAATCCTGAGTCCAATGACTTTCACGACAAGCAACTCAGCTAGGACTATGCCATCCGAGGTTGTTGCGACGGTCTACCCGGACATGCCATGTTGTTGCTTCCCCAGGTGACTTCCTCTTGCTCTCAGTCTTGCCATGACTAAAAAGCGCGCTACATGTGGCGCTCCTACTCTGCTACCGATTATTGCTATTCCGGCTTCAGGTGTCTCTTGGTAGCAGCATTGCTGCTTCAGGCCTCGAGTTTAAATTTAGCTTCATGGCTGGCCTTTTACAAGCCGGCTTAGAAGGCTTAGGCAAAGCCTCAGCGGAAGTCGGTGGTCTCGTTCATCCTGGTTGAAGTGGAAGACTGAGAGTCCGGTGACAGCAGCTCAGCAAGAACAGCAAAAGGGTTTAGGGTTCAGAGTTTTGGGTTTCGGATTTTAGGGTTTATGCTCTTGGAATACTTGTCCTGAGAATATCAGAGAATAGCAACTCCACCGGCAGCACAAACGTTGTGATCGCCCCATGAAGCCTGAACCCTAAACCCTCGACCCTCAAACCCAAACCTGGAGGAGCCAGGTCGGTCGAACAACCTTAAAACTTCCGAACATCCAAAAAACAGGGAACTCGTGGGTTACCGTCAAGTTTTGATATGGTCTTCTGCGTCTTCATGGAGCATTTCGGGAGTTTTGCTGGGGTGGTACAAGATGACCCAGCAGCCTGAACAAGCTGATTGGGCTTCGGTCCCTAGACCCTTAATCCTGATCCCTAAACCCTAAACCCTAAACCCTAAACCCTAAACCCTAAACCCTAAACCCTAAACCCTAAACCCTGATCCCTAAGGCCTAAACAACCTCAACCCAAGTCCCCAGCCGTGGGCTTCGGCAGACTTTTGGACAGCCGGCTCTGAAGCAACTCTGCAGCCTGACGCCAGCGAAGTCCTGGAGCGAGTGACGTATGACGATTGCTACTACCTATAGTCTCCATTGTAGTTCCTTTTTTTTGGTTAACCAATTTTATGGTTAGGATCCTTTAATATATATTTGGTTAACCAAAAAAGGAACTAC